ATATATACACATACACACACACACACATATACATAGATACACACACACACACACACACACACACATACATACATACTGTTGGCTTTGGGATTCACTGATTAAAATGGGTTGCTTATGGGAAGGAGGGAACTAAGATACGGAATTTTCGAGGGTGCAGATCAGTGGTGAATTTCCATTTTTTTTACTATCGGTTCGCTCGTGTGTTTGTGCGTGCTCGCGATGCTTCTGTGCATGCGCAGATGTGTCCGGGCAGGTGGGCAGAGCCTCCTGCTGCCACCACTACTGGTTTGCCCGATCCGGGCCGAACCAGGAGCAACCCACCTCTGGTGCAGATGATAACTATCAGGTTTATACTGTAAGTGCTAAAAAGGAGGTCAGAAATGGCTTCCTTAAATATCTTTTCTTTCTTTTTCTTCCTTTGCTTTTTGCTGACCTTCACTTTTCCCCATTCTTTTAAAAAAATTCTTTTTTCTATGTTTTTGTAACTTTTCAATCTTACGTAAAATTCTTTTAAAATAATCCACGCACACACAACAGGACAGGAAGCCACTCATGCAAGTGGGAAATAAAAAGTCAAACGGTGCAAATTCCAACAAATGTAAACAGTTGAAATAATGAACAAGAAAAATACATAGCGCCTTCTTTGGTTTCTGCTTTTTTAGTGCCGTAATCCAGGCGCTGCGTTCAAGAACTGGGATGTTGAGAAAATGGCTTTGCTTGTTTTTGTTTAAAAGAAAAATCCTTCTCAGCATTTTCAAAATCCCATTTCTGCTTGTCCAGAGAAAAGAACACTAAAGCCTTAGTAACTCCAAGATTTTGAACCACATTCCATCAACCTCCCATTGCACATTTGTAAGAGACTCTCTGTAGCCAAGAGAGCGGGATGGATGCTTTAAAACCAGAAAGATGAAAAGCTCACATTCTCAGGCAATTTTAACCACACTGCAGTTATGGATACCCAGCCCTGTTTATACCTGCCCCAAGAGCCCATGTTAAACCAAAGAAATTCACCCAGCCATTCCCACGTCCAGCTGAGAAGGTGTAGCTCGACCAAGGCATTATAGAAATAGTGGAGGATGTCTTTGAGTTGATCTCAATTCCTGGGAAGTAGAATAGAATAGAATGATAGAGTTGAAAGGGACCTTAAAGGTCTTCTAGTCCAACCCCCTGCTTCGGCAGGAAACTCTACACCACTTCAGGTTATCCAACATCTTCTTAAAAACTTCCAATCTTGGAGCATCTATCACTTCTGGAGGCAAGTGGTTCCACTGATTAATTGTTCTAACTTTCAGGAAATTTCTCCTTAGTTCTAAGTTGCTTCTCTCCTTGATTAGTTTCCACCCTTTGTTTCTTCTCCTGCCTTCAGGTGTACTGTTGATGTAGCATAAGGTGCTTCAACTCTCCAGGTAAAGAATTAAACATTTTGCCCAGTCCTGTTTTGAAAAGAAGCACCTGGGATGGGCAAAATGTTTAAAAGATAAAGGTAAAAGTTCCTCTTGCACATATGTGTTAGTCGTTTCTGACTCTAGGGGGCATGTAAAGCGCAGGGGTGTGTGGGCGGGCCGACCTGATTGTCGGAGTGAACCAGTTCGCTCCCAGCTGATCGTCGGAGCTACTGGTTCGCCCGAACTGGCTGAATCCCACCCCTGGTGACTCTGCTCTATTTCTCACCTGACTTCATGGGGGTGGCTTCAGGATTATAGTAAAAGCTAAAGAAGACCCTGCACTATTGAGGCATTCTCTCAATTATTTTAAAAGGAGAAATATATTTATGAAAAGGAATAC